TGAAGGGAAGAGAGAGCATCATCAGGAGAAGGAAGTTCATCAACTGTCACAGCTCATCAGATTCATGGGCACTTTGCTAGTAAGAACAGTTGATGAACACGCTAGTTATTCATGCACTGCCAAAAGAGAGGAAATGCATCAGTAAAAGGGAAGGCAAAAGAGGACACATATTTGATTAAATCTGCATGTGTTACTTTATATTTAGAGATGTGGATTTAGATATCATTGCTATGTTTAAATAAATATGTAATACAGCTTACCATGTGGGTAGAGGAAACCCCAGGCCAAGTGCTCAGTTTTTTCTCCAGTAGCTAACTGTTAATGCTCAACTATAAGGGTCCTTCGTATGGTTTCTTATAGTTCTTTATCTTTACATAGACTTGCACTGGACAACCCTTCAAATGAGCATGCATTCAAACAGAGGCCTGTCCTCGGTCAAGTAAGATGCATGGCCACCTTACCACTTGCACACATATATATTGTCCTTTGTTTTCATGTCCTTCAGCAGTAAATTCAGTCTGTGATTCACATCGTAAGGAGGTACAAAATGGATGCAGCCCCTTCATGCATCAATTCCAAACAACAGGATTGAATTCAGTGCCACAGCAGTAGAAATCTGTTTGCATGGCCCGAGTTTCACTCTCTCGCCCTGCCCTGGCACCTCAAAATAGCTCTAGAGAGCAGGTGGGGGGATGCAGGGGCGTAGGAACCCATCTTTGTCTTGTTTCCCCTGACAGAACTGCAGAAGGACCGCGTGAGATGCAACCAACAGCATGGCAGGTGCTCTGAGTAGCCTCAAACTCCTGGGCCACCCCTGCCTCCCTACACACTGCATGAAACAAAACCGGACTGCTAGCTGGCCCGAAAGGCCAGATGGTTATTCGTGCTAGTCTGCTGCAATTCACCATCTTCACTAGGATCACAGACACGCAGTGGGGAGGAAGCCCATGAACCTGATAATGTTCAGTTCTTATAACAGCTAATATTTTATGTTTTAAATTATGGTGAACCACCTTGAGAACTTTGGCTATTGGGCAGTATAAAAATGTAATAAATACATAAATAGATATCTTTGATTTTTCATTAAATTGTAACAGGGCTCTTGGTAATAAGCATGCAATGAAAGTATTTGAATTGTGTATATATAGCTCAAGCTTCTTAAGCTTCTTCTAGGTTTACTCATTATAAAGTGACTTTTTAATTTTTAGGAAAGGGTTTCTACCTATATGCAACAGTATAAGCCAATATAAGGATTTTTTACACACTTAGAAATTTGCACAACAGAAACAGCTACATTTTACAAGGATGCCAGAACGGAGTTACACACATCAATCAAATCTGAATACCTGTGAAATGAGTCAATTTTGAATTAAGAAGATGAACTATCAGCGAAAATGATACAAAGCTATTCAAACTCCCCAAAAACCAATTAACTACTAATTAGAACTGCAAAACAGTGCAATGGTAGAGGCAATTTGGATGGAATACAGGTTGACAAGTAAAAAGAGGCAAGGCGTAGCAACTGATACGAAGCCCTTCACCCTGCTCTTCACAAATCCTTCCCAAATGACTTGAGTCTGAGCTTCTAGCAGAAACTATCCATCTTCTCCTTCATGTTTTAACTTGGGGGCAGAATTGAAACAATTTTTCTTTTTAGAAATTAAAGTTCCGGTGCTTCATTTTGTGCCCATCCTGCCCAAGGAAGTAATAGGATACTCCAAACATGTATAGTCTGTATTTTCTAGAGATGGACAATTTTATTACCAAGTACCTTCAAATGCAATTATATTCTATCACTTTCTCTAGAGACAACCTCGTGCTGTTCCTCAGTTCTGAGTATTAAACTTTACTCTCGCCCTTTCCTTTCACAAATACCTGAGATAAAGCATTGCTGTGAACTGACTTGGCTTGTCAGGTAATGCGCGTCTGTTCAAACTCCATCATTTTTAATAGGCAATTATTTCCACAGCCTACATTTAAAGCTCTGCCTTCTTGTTGTGCTCCTTATGGCTCAGGTTTTGCACAGAACTGTAATTTCTTAAACTGTGCCATTGGTACTAGACCAATACATCAAGCACAATATGTTGCTGTGCCTATCTTCCATGTTACAAGAGCCAGTCACCTGGCAGCAATTATTGCCAACATAAATGGGTGTTTCTTCCATTTTCCGATATTAAAGAATGCAGCTCCTCTTTTTGGACAGCTGTCTCAACACAGAACTTTGCTCTTTCTGCAATTATGAGTGTCATTCCTGGATTTGTACAGGAAGACGGCAAACTTGAGTGCAAGATGACATGTGTCTAGCTTTTTAAAATCATTGATAATGCAGGTCTCAATGGAATTTCAACATGCTGTTTAAGCCCCTACCACCACCCCCACAGCCAAAAGAAACTGTGGAGCACGATGGCTGTTATTGTTCCCCGTCAGCTCTGAACAGGGAAGCTTCCTTTTGGGTTGTTATGGCTATTAGGACTGAAGTAACTCACCATCTGTTTTGTTTTCTCATCCTCCTCACAAGCCATTGATACTAATGACCAGAGTCCTTCAGCAGTCAAGTAATTATGATAAATATATTGTTATTATTATGCAAATCAGTGCTTTGCCATTGTTCTTAAAGCCTCTTATTTTTTAAAATTAATTTTACATAGATTTATTTCCAGTTCAGCACCATGATGTGACAAACCTTCGTAACATCTGAAGAGTTTGTTTGAAACTGCGGACTTAAAAGTCATGGGGAAACATCCAAATGAATATATAGAGAGGGTTTTGTGAGGATTTAATTGGGCGAACTGTCAGCATTTTTGACACAGCAGACTTTATTATCTTGTCTTTAAACACCTTGCACAACTGATTATATGAGAAGCCAGCCATGCATTACAACCTGTGAGATGTTCCACAGCTGCCCAGTCCCACTTGTATTGTCCTAGGCAGGCAGTATAGAAAGCAAGGTTTATGGAACCCCTGTGGGCCAGCACATTTGGCTTGTGCGCTGGGTCCTGCGTGGTGGATCACAAGTTCGTCAAGTTTGTGATATACCAGGAAAAATCCTGTATGCTCTGAGATACCTATTATGTCTTACCTTTTGGCAATGCAAAGCTTTTAAAGATAGAACAAATAAGCCTAAGCTGCTATTAATTAGGGAGGTGAGCAGAATTTATTTCCATGTTTTGGCATCCACATCTTGACTTTGCTCCTCAAAGCCGGTTGCCATTATTGCAATTTTGACAAACCTCAACACTACTGAATAATAGTGGTTTAATTTTGTAATGGTTTCCTAGTGATTTAATTTTTCACTTCTACTGCAGTGGAAGCTGAAATTTTAGTTGATAAGCATACGAACATTTTCTCCAGGAAACAAACTTAGGAATTGTACATCTGATAGTCACAACAGCAACTATATTATTGTAGCCACTTTCCCTGCAAAAACTAGCAATTAGCAGTGGGCGAGGGAGCCAATGACAAACCCCTTTAGCCAACTGTAATAGGGTGGTCTTTTTCATGTTAAAAAGCAGGGATCGGCTTTTTAAGAACTCACTTTCTATAAAGTTATGTCTAATTTAATTAAGCTATTTTAAGTAGTCGCTCCCTGGTCATTCTTTTCTTCTGCAAGCTTCTTTAATTATTTAATGTTTATCATTAAGCTCATGCAATACATAAAACTATACTTGGATATGAAAATGAATGCCCTTACTCTCCGTCTGCATTAAAAGTCAATTAAAGTGTGCCTTCTAGATTCAGACCGGGTTGGCTTGATGGCTAGATTCAAACTTAGGGTTAAGTTTGCACTGCAGGATTCTTTTCTAACAAAAAGAAAACTGCTTATTGGCCTTTGCCCAATTTTATCCAAGTGCCTGTACCTCATCTGCGAGTTGCTTTTTACTTTGCTTACATCTATTGGTTTGTTCTCATGGAAATGAAGATTCCTTAACAGAGTCTTCCTTAGTTTCCTCCCTTCTCACTCCAACATTTGGCAGAAGTCGAAATACCAGGACAATACTATATGCACAGCCTATAATTGTTACAATCCAAACGTCTCAGCTTCAGAGTATGATAATTAATCCTTTAACATTGCAATCTGCAGTTTTTGACTGTAACACTTTTCTTCAGGACATTTTCCATCACAGCCTTTCCAGACCCCTCATCAGTCACTTGAAAAATGTTTGCGTAACATTATGAGCAAACTGTGTCTTGAGCCTGTCTCCCTGTTCCTTCCTGTTTTTTATCAAAAAAACGGTATTATAAGATTTAGACGACTGCTAAAACTAAAGGATATTTGCAACCTAATGCTTCCCTATGAGTTTCAGAAGTATGAATTGCTTCACGAGTTCCATGCCAGTCGTAGGATATCAATTAAAAGGAGAAATAGCAACAAGGGAATGATATTACCCTGCTTCCTTCAGAAGGAAACTTGATTTGATGTAATTTTTCTGTAGCATTAAGATGTATATTTCATTCAAAAATGATGTTTGCTTTTGTAGCGTAAGTGACAAGAAAGTACAAGGCAAAGCCACCAGCATGGTGCTGGATGGAGCTCAAGGTCTCACAATAAAATGTTTGATTCAGTGGAAATGGGAAGTGGCCCATGTGAACAGAACTTGGAAAAAGTACCTTTCCAAAGTAGGTGAGTTTTCAACAGTTAACCTTAATTGTAAACACACAAGCAGGATGTTATTTTTACTGATTCTCTATTTTTATCTTGCACTGTGTCTTGCTTTCCTTTAGCTGCTGAAGAAACAGTAAATATTATTAAGCTGAGATTCTAAGAGAAGGGCACTCCCCACTGAGGTTTGCCAGAATAACCTCAAGGGCAATACTTATAAGTTGTAGTTTACACACAGCGTTTCCCAACCCCTTTGAATGAACATATTACCAAAACAATTTTGGCGAGTGACCTCTATTAATCAATGTGCTAGGTCTCCCTACTTCAAGGTCAGCTCCATTGCAGTCCTGCCTGCCTGCTCTTTTCTTTTTTCTAAAATCATTCAGTTCAAACTGCTTACCTTTCTTTCTGCTAAAAGCACGATTCATGATGAAAAATCACCCAGTGCGTGTGTTATTTAATCTAAAAACAAAACACAGATAGACGTTACAATTAAAATGACGTCAATTTCACAGACATGTTGCTTTAGGTAGTAAGGATCTTCTTACAAGCCATGAAAAAGATGGGCTGCTTTAAAAGGCTAAATAAGGGTGTGATCTCAGAACGGGAAAAAAAATGATTAAGGGCACGATCCTATGTATGTCTGGACAGAAGCAATTTCTACACCTTGCAGCATTTGCCTGCTGACTGGGCAATGGGGGAATTTACATGATTTTTTTCCTGTCTCAACATGCATAGAATCATTGCCCTACTATGTTTAATTCTAAACACACCTGCTTGAAATGTCCCACCAATTCCACTGGATTTACTTCCATGTAAAGATCCACATGAAATGACTACAGGGTCAATATGGTTAGTACAGACATTCTGTGATGATGGACATGGGAGTCAGAAAAGCCTCAAATTCCATGTCAAAGTTTGGTCCAACTCTTGTCAATATCAGATTTCAGGCTGTTCTGTTTTTCTGTTTGTCTTTCAGAACAATATATGCATATTTTTCTGCACATTTTTAATGCATCTATTCTTCTCATATTGATTGATGTGTTTATATTTATTTATTTAATTGAGTCAACTTCTATTCTGCATTAATTGGTTCAAAGGACTCTCTAAGCAGATTATATATGAGGATGGAAAGGTGAACATCACCTCTGCCTCTGCTGCTGGGTATACAACACCTGAAGTCTCCAGACTCCATCTAGTGGATTGTACCCTAAACTTTCTCTTCCCACAAAGAGACTGAAGTTTGGAGGAATGCTGCCCAATATTTCCTGAACTGGAAATGGAAGCATTGTACCTGATTTAATTGGAATTACTGCGTAGCATGCTAAACGTTAATCTGCTTAAATCATTTCTCCATACAACATAAAAAAAACTGACAGGCATTCTGATCTACACACTGCATTAGAGTAATTTCATTTTCTTAGAAGTTGCAGTCACACAAGTATTTGAGGGCAGGTATAATGCAGTTATTAAAGGGAAAGTCTGGGCTAACATCCCATTTTAGTCATGAAGATCAATGGATGAGTTTGGGCCAGTCACTGACCCTCCGTCTAACCTACCTCACTTCTTCACCAAATACATTTCGGTTGTTGAAAAGAAAAGTTGGAGAAGAGGAGGATCATGTGTACCATATTGGGTTTCGTAAGGGAAAAAGTGGGATATAAATTTTAGAATACAATAGGAGTTGAAAAGGATCTATAAGGTCAGCAAGTCAAACTCCCTGCTCTGCTTCCAAATGTTGTCACCCATCTGGCTGCAGACCTGTGGGTTTCCAGCTTAGTGAAGGTCACTTGATATAATAGTTTGATGTATTTAGTGATCACCAAATAATCAAATTTGAATTTATATTTCTCTCTCCAAATCATCATTGCGTATTTGAAATATGCCACATAACCAATTAATTCAATAATCTGTATTCATGTAAGTTGTCTTTCAAGGTAATATTTTGAGATCATACCATCATACTATTTAAAAAAAAACTTGGGTGGATAATACAAAATCATGACTAGCAGTCACAACCTTCCAACTTTTGCTTGACTTCAATGAACAAAATAGCAGAATACTACTAAACTACATATAGTATAGGTTTATTTCCAGTATTAGAACCCATACAAGCAAAAAGGACTTTTGTGAAAAAAAAACTAAACATACTCTAATAGCTTTCAGGTAGTGAGATTTAAAGATATGAAACAGCAGTTAAATTACTTATCATGCACTTCAATCTGTGTATTTTTCTGGAGCACTTTTAGTGCTTTTAATTAAAAAGTCATTGTTTTGTGAACTGCTATCATTGTGTGTACAATTGTGAAGACCAAGAGTCAGGCAAAGCACTCAACAGGAATTCATGAACTTACTATTTTATACCATGTCACAAGATTCTAAGAAGAGCCCTGCCTGGCCCATCTGGTCCAGCTGCCCACAAGAATCCAGAGGCAGGATATGAATGCAACAGCTCCTTCCTGCCCAACCAGTGTATGTACATAGCCTTAGATTTGAAGGAATCTCCAAGGAATGCAGCATCCTATTTACCAAAAGATCATGATTATGGTTCTTCTAAGTAAATGGTAAGTTTATAGTAGATTTCACAGAAATAGCAGTTTGTCTTTTCCCATTATGAATGTCTTTTTCCTGCTGCTGAAAACAAGGTACATATTCAAAAGCATATCTGCAGCCTGATGTCCTGTAAAATATAGCATGAACCAAGTAATAAAGGACACCATTCAAAGAGCCCTTCATGAATACATAAAGGCTTGTGCACGCAGTTATAATAGTCTCCTATGCTGCCTCAAACTCTACATCAGCTGCTTCTTTCTCTCTGACTGAGTTCACAAGACACACTAAAGCACCTGGACTTAGAAATGCAGGCATGTTAGCTGAACCTGCCACGTCTTAGGGTAGCCTATAGACCCAGCTGCTGGACTAGTAGACCATCCCCAGAGGAAATGGTAGCTTTAATGTATCATCTGAACTAGAAGAATGCAACAGGTCTGAGGGTGACTAAGCCTGCCACACAGCCGCTTGACAAGTGACAAAAAAAGATTGCCACTCTGACCGAGTGGCACTTTGGGACAGTTGTCAGAAGCTCCCACGCCGCCACAGCCGCCAGCCCTGAGCGCAGGAGCAAAGGGCGAAGCATGGTCTGCTCAGCCTGCTCCAGAATGGGCCGAACAGAGTTTAGTTATGCTCCCACTTTGCTGGGGCCGCCACTGATTCTGGCAGAGCTCTTTGGGCATCGGCAGCTGTGCAGGGCGGAAAAAACACTGCATTCTGCGTGGCTTCCTCTAAAAGAGACCAAGCCAGCCAGAGTTCACCTTCCCTGGTCCAGAACTACTGTTGAGCAGCTGAGGCACTGGACAGGACCAGGGTGGCAGGATGGACCTGCTGCTGATCTCAGCAGAGGTGCCTTGAACAAACTCTAGCTCTATTCCTTGGTCAAGGTGAGAGCTGGTGGATCCCAGTTCTTTCTATCCACAAATATAAGCAGAGGGGAGAAGGCTCCTATGGAGACTGGGCTCTTTCAGATTGGTTTCCTCAGCCTCTGAATCTGACGTGGAAGAAGAAATGGGGTCTGAATGCTCAGCTGAAATGCCACAGAGAGTGAACTTCGAGATAAGCCAAACTGTGGGTGAGAACCAGAATGCTTCTGGTATGGGAGCAGACACTGTGGAACAAGAAGGGACATAGAGGCAGGGATACAATTTAGAAGTCCAATTGTCTGATGTCGCCTTAAGTGAGCTGGCCAGTTGCGTGACCTCTGGCATTCCTGCTGTCTGGCCCACAAGTGGTAGGAACCTTGCAAAAGAGAGTGGGGGGACCAGCTCCTGACACCTCAGGATTTCTGCAGTGTCACCTTGGATACCTGCAGGAACACTGAGAGGGGAAAGAGGTGGGGCCACAGAACAACACTGCCTCCGGTAGTTCAGGGGCCAAAGGCCAGGAAACTGTGTACGGTAGCTATCCTGGGCTTCCTAGATCGTCCAAGCCTACCCATCTCTCTCTGTCTCTCTCTCCCTCCCTCCCTTTTAGTCCCTGGAGAATTGAACTAAGTCTGATGTGCCCAACCTGTTTTGCTTAAGAGGAAGTTATTACAGGAATGCTTAACAAACCTTCTTAACTAAGCAACCATGGGCATAAATGCAACTTTTAAGAAAGTAGCTCCAGTTGACCAGGAAACTGAATAAAGTGTTACAGGAATCTCACAAGATCATAGAAGAAGAGCATCCTGAAGATAAGGCAAGACTCAAGGGAACCAATTTCTGTGCCCTACAAGATTGTATAAAGGGAAATATAAAAATTTGTGTGCGTTTACCAGTATTGCCTTTCCCAACTCCCAAATTACATATCACTAATGCCTAATTTTAGCCTGCTGTGCACTCTGTCCTTCTGCTGTTTGACAAACCTTGTCAGTGCTGGGTTCTGATGTATGGTGTGTTAGCAAATTGAACATAGCAAGTTTCTTTTAAAAATTTTTTAAACAATATTGTAATTCTGACTCAATTATCAGAGTTTCATTGCTTATTTAGGTGAAACAGCAAAAGCACACAAAAAGGGAGGCATGAAAGAATTCAAAACATCCAAAATTGCAGAAATCATCATCATCATCTAAGGCAGGACCTCCCCAAAGATACCCCAAAGTGGATGAAATGTGCTCAGTCAGGGCCCATGCAAGGTGCACCGCCTGATGAAAAATGAAAAGCCAGGAGGAATGAAATTGAACAAGTTGCCTAGAAAAGGAGGATGGAAGAAGCAAAACACAAAAACACCCACCGTGCCTTCTAGCCAGCCGCAGCACGCCGTTCACTTGCTCTCCCAGCAGCCAGCCTGCGCATGCATTTGGCCGACCACAGACCGAGAAAGGAGCCCTCTAAAGGGTCTCGCCCACCACACACACACAGAGACACACACTCTTAACCTTCTCTTGCAAGGCCCTGCTTTTGAAATGTTTAGTGTATGATATGTGACAGTACTTACTACATCTTAGCAGAATTTCAGATTATGTTCTGCAACATTTGCTATTTGGTGATCAGGTGGATTGAAAGCTTGGGAAGAAGTACAGGAGGGTGTTGTAAAAGTTTTAGTTACAGATTTTTTTTTTTGCACAGTTAAAAAGTTTGTTAGTAAACAGGCCCAGGTAGGAGGCAGGAAGGAATGCCAAGGAAAAGGAGGAGGAAAGGAAGCAATGAAAAAATGTGACAACTATATAGTTTGCAAATAAAGACCTGTGTGTGTTTAGACTTTGCGTTTGCATCCTTGCTGAGAAGGAAATGAAGATTTTATGACAAAACATTGGAACTTGCAAACTTAGAAGCAGTTGTTACTTTCTGCTCTGCCTGGAGTCATTGCGGGCTTTCTCCATCAAGCCCTGCGGCACCTCCTTTTTGTTGCTGCTCATCATGTGCACATTACTGCAAGAGCTTTGAGCTCACACCTCTTTAGAACGTCTCCACCACGTCACAGCTTGC